ACGGCTGGGGAGTTGTAACAAATAAGAAATAGGAGGATTAACAATTATAAAAGTTTATGCGCGCTCTAAGAGTTGTAAAGCTACGGACAACAGCCCTTTATCATTTGTATACCTATTGCACTCTCCATTCGTTTCAACAAATCTCTTACTAATTCACCCTCTTTTTCATCTCGTCTTCCCACTCTTATCATAATTACCTACATATTTACTCCATCTTGTTCGTTTCTCTTATCCGTAAATACATATCTCTGTGTATGTCCCCACCCTTTTACATACTTGTCGTTCTCTCGTTTCTTCGCTTTCATCCATGTTGTTCCGCACCCCTCTCTTTCTTTTTGTTATTCTCTTTACGCTTGTTGCGGTATTTTTCCTAACCGCTCGCCACAGTCTCCGCCGCATCAAGGATTTTCCTCTCATAATGCTTACCCCTTTTCACAACTTCATTCTCTCTCCACCCGCCCATCAACGCGCGATTCTCTTTGAGCGTATTTTTCTTTATTGCTATTCTTTCATTTCTTCCGAAGCAGCATTTTCCCCCACTTTTCTTTATTTTTTTTTCGACATATATTCATTTATTCGCAACGAAAGAAACTAATTAACCAAGAAATCGAACATTCTATGTTGAAAATATTTAGATAATAGTAGGCATTAACATAAGATATTTTTTTATTAGAAAATTTTGTTAAGATATCTTGATGTTAAGGTTAAGATATATCAATGCTTTATATATCGATAATAGAATACGGCTCTGACGAATAACAATCAATGAATGAAATATTGTTAAATTATAATCGGGTTTTCGATCAAAACGTACCTCACCACTCAAAGTAAAGATCTATTATGTGCTTTTTTTTCTCCCATTCCCTTATATTGTTTGTAGCATATCCGGAAGAGGAAAATTCCAGGTCATTTGAAATATGCACAACAATATCATACATAGAAGTAATACATTTACTCAACTGCCCTCTTTCTATATTTCTAATTAACTTAGAATCTTGTTGTTAGTATTCCGTGTTCACTGCTATAGATCGTCAATCACGTTTGCAGATGAAGAAATTTTTCTCGGTAACATAGAAGTGGACAACAGGTCCAAGTGAGCGTAATAAAAGCTCAACAATTTGAGAAATTAGTTTAATTCGAGACTACGAAACAATTAAGATTCAGTTGCCTTAGATTATTTTATCTTTGTTGCATAAGAAACGTTTATATCATAAGAGAAAAAATGAAAAGGGGTTGGAGAGGGAGGAAAAAGAGGAAGGAAAGGTACTCAAAAAAGTAATCACCACGACTGGTTGTTGCAATTTCAAGACGTCCCGTTGTTTCCGTACCCTTCCCGGAGTGTGCCACTTCATCTCTAGCCACCGCGTCCTACTCATTCCACTTTAGCACCCCATGGGGGTAGCTACCCGGGGGAATCAATAACCGACGAGGGAGCGCACCAGAGGGTGTAGTGGCGGGGCAAAGGATCGCAGGTTGTAGAGTTGGGGCTGGCACGCGGAGCGGTGGAGCTTGGCTCCGCCTCCGGCACGCGACCAGCACGCGACCGTCGTCGCCACCGTCGTACCTCGCTCGTCTCGCCTCGTCTCGCCTCGCCGCCTCACTGCCGCCGCTCTTCGCAACGGCCACCACCCCTGACCTGGATCTTTTGTTCTCCTCGATGTCTTTCCCTCTCGCTTTTTTCTCCAACGTTGTCGTATCTTTCTTCCATTTCCGATGGACATTCCGGAATCCTTACTGCCCGTGTTTGGACAATAAAGTCACTTTTCATATTTTCATACTCTTATTCGATAAATGGACTAAATCACATTTATATAGAAATATAAATTTTGCAATGAGCAATATGCTTCTTCGACGATTTATCCGTTCATTCTACCCGCTAGCTTTCAAATGTGATGCACAATGAGACGGTAATAAAAAATAAAACAAAGAACGAAATTGCAAAATCAATTGCAAGATTAATTCGCAAAATGTCTCTCTCTCTTGTAATATATTTTATAGAACCTAAGTCTGAAGAATAACGTGTTTATAAAAGACACGTACATTTGCATTGATTATAAAAAATATTAGATTAGGTTAGATGATTAGGGAGCACAATACATTTGAATAAAAATATTGTAAGTTTTGGCTGTACGTACGATAATAAGCATGCGCAGGCGCATATCAAATTTAAACATGCACTCACACATATCAAGCTATTACATTAAAAAATTTGTTAATGGACTCATATATTATATATTTCTATAAAAAATGGAAAAACTAATGCCGTTTATATATTCCAACAATAATCATATGAATTATTAATAATTAATGACTGTAAAGCCATGAAGTATTGCGTGCAGAGAAAATAATTGGATTACGCAGAGACGAACAGCAATAACATGTGTTTAAGTGAAAAAGGAAGGAAGATTGGTAGAAAGATAGATAGAAAGAGGAAATACGAGAGCGGCAGGAAGAAATCGATAACAGCGTGGCACGCGACAGCTTGCCAACCCTTCGACTTGATTCGGACTGCTACACCCGTCGTTCAATCATTTCTTTACTAATCATGCCAACGAAAATGTTTGCAATGTCCGTACTAATTTCGTTTATGTAAGTAGTGTCTTCAACTGTTGTTAAACAAAACTCACTTGATATTTATCAAGTGGCATTTAACAATTTATTATACTTTATTAATCATGATATATTATTATCTAAGAATTTTTTCAACATACTATGTATCATTTAAAGTTTAGCAATTTTAAATTTATATTGAGAAAAGAAAAAGAGAATGTTATACAATGGTTGATCCGGATAGAGTGTAAATGGAATGTAAATAGAAATTCAAATTATAGGACTTAGAATTCCTGAATACTGATTAATGTGCGTCTTTTTATTTCATGAAATGTTCTTTGTTTTAGTTTCATCGTATTATTTGTTGCTGATACATAATCTTGCAAAGTATGTAACGGTTAATTGCAACTGGGTGTGATGTTATTGTTAAGTCCAAAATTTGCTTGAAGACAGAATATCATTATTGTAGCTACCGAATTATTTACAAAACGATTTTAAATGATGCAGCATGTCAAATAATACGTATTTTAGTGTCAAATTTTTCGGGAAGATTAATTGTTAATGTAATTGTGGCTTGATGTCGTCGGTTGTTATCTATTTAATTCATTTGATATATGGCACGATCTCCGCGAGCGATATACAATATAAAATCTAAGAAAAGAACTCGTAATTTCTTCTCGTCTAGCAATTTGTCATTGTATACAGTTGGATGTCCCACATTTTTCATCACGACATACACACACCGCGAAACGTACAACCAGATAAACTTTTGATAGATAGCCAATACGCGCATATCACGGAATTTATGAAATCTAAACTTTTCGAGTAGGTGTATCCACGTTTTCCATATCGCATGTAAAGCTTATTCACTGAGATCAATTGTGTTCAGCGTTGATATTTCAAGAAAAATCTTCACATTTGGAATATTCCAAAGTATCGTAAATAACGCCAAGACATTTAGTTCACGAGATAGTGGAGATTACTCTTAGCTTACAATTAGACGTACTTTTTGTCTAGATGAGAAATTAAGCTATAACAATGAATATCGTGTAGCGCAAAGCGCGAGGAGGATCACGATAAGATACAAGATTAGACTTCGCCAATAGAAATAGAGAGAAACATAAGGAGCATTCCGAAATACAAAAGGAAAACCCAAAATAAACCTGAGAGATGGACTGAAAATCGAGACAAAAATGACGAATTGTGGCAGAAAATGAAAATAATACCGTATTTTCTGGTGGCTAAAAAAGCGTTATACGATTACCAATATTTCATTTTAAATTTGCTCAAGACTTGTGAAATTTAAATTCAATGTATATATATATATATATATATATATATATATATATGTGTGTGTGTGTGTGTATATCTGTAACCTATGCCCGCAGGATTGTCCTTCTCTTTTAGCCTTCTGTCCGTCCACAGGCGCGAGCGCGGAGAACCAGTGAGAGGAAACGCGCGGAAGAGGCGAGAGCTAGTCGAGGGTGAGTGAGTGGTCGGGTAGTTGCCTGAGTGATGGCAGCGAGGCCGAGGGAGGAAGAAGAGAAGACCGTTGGATCGGAAAGAAAAATACAGTCGCAAATCAAACAGAAAACACATTTTCGCTCTTTTTATACCTCTTTCACGTAAATATTTGTTCTGGAAATATACGTTCGTTTCGTTTCGTTTCCATCTCTAGCACCGGCCCTCTCTCTCCTCGTCTTCTTCAATGTGTACAACAATGTCTATGCGTATGTACGTGCATGCACATCGACGTGTATCTTACTGCTTATATCTCGTTAAGAACTATTGATCTTTTTACTTTTGTCGTACGTAAAGACTTAAACGTTAGGATATAGACTTATAGGATTTGGTGATGAAGGTCCAGGCTTTAATAAAGGTCCGGATAGCTTGCTATATAGCACGGGAACCCCCTAAGACACGTCGACGCTACGACTCGCTCTCAATTTGAAGTTTCAACGGATAAAAGTAGGAATACTTTAACTCAGAATGAAATTTCAAAAGAATGGAACGGGAATGGTGAAGGAATAAAAGAAGAAGACGACGAGGATGTTCTCTCACCAGCCAGTCGGCTTTCTTCAACTGAAAAATGTGTAATACGAGCTTGTAGTTCACCCCCCCACTCCCGAAGGATATCTCGGTCTCGCCCCACGGTCCTCCCATCCCTTCGGTACCTCTCTCTTCTATGATGTACATTCCAGTTTCACTGCTCGAATGGTTGAGCGGACATATTGAAAACCGCGCACAGACAATACAAAGTTGCTTTTGTGCGCGCACGTCGCGTTTGTCCTTAGGAATATTAAACGATATCTGGCCAGAAACATTTTCAGATTTCTGAAATTTGGAGTTGGTATTGTAATGTGACTCGGCGATGGCATTAGTGACGCATAAACCCAATCGACATAATTAATCTTTATACATCGTATATGCATGCTGTTAAATATTCCAAGTTCTGTCCCATATGTTTATTGTTGTATTATTGTTACAATTTTCTTTCATATATGTGCACATTTGTGCTATACGCATAGAATAATGTCATAAAAAACAAACCATATCATGCGCTTGTTGTAGTTTTTTGAAATATAATTTGCTCTTGCTACTCTTTTTCAAGCTTCAAATTTATATGGCAGATACAGCGATGAAGCAAACGTCCATACATCTTTTTTCGTCCAATTACACAATGGATTATAGATTTCAAAATGATTCATATCATCCATGTTGCCATTAATTTTATTTTTGCCATTTTTTTCAGCCCCTCCAATTAGCAATATTGGTCGTAAATGCGATCGAACTATATTATTCGTATACATCTTACTCATATTTATGTTATTTATATATTTATTATTTATCTTATTATCAACTGTAGTTTCCATAGTGGGCGTTATTAAATGATACCTAAAAATACATAGTTTTTATTTATCACAACCCTTGTTATATAATACTGATTTGTATATATATATATATGCCATATCAATCAATATATTTTTAGATTATAATTTGAAAAATAGATTATTCTGTATTACTTGTCAACCATTTCTTTGAAGAATTCTTCCATGTCAACCGCTATCTCGTTTTTTAAGTAAACCACTTGCAATTTGTTATCAGAATGTAACTGAGTTCTACATATATGAGCGAGATGAATAACAACACTTGATTCTATACTACCATCGATACATATTGTGACGCATTCAGGATTCTGATAAAATTGTCTAAATACGAGGAAAATTAAATTTAGTGTATAATATTAATAATACAATAATTAAAATGTATTATGTCTTCTTTACCTAAGTTTTTCAAGAGATTGCTCATAAATCGATCGATGTGCGCAATCTTGAAGAAAATTATTATACTTGGTAATACAATCTATATGCGGCGTTCGGTCAAAATTTACGAAAATATTTGCAGGATTTAGTTCGCAAAATCTTTGTTTCGCTCTTTTAGTATCATTTTCGTTATCACTCTCTATGGTTACAAATGCTTTAAAATACCTGCACATACATATACATTGTGTTTATCTTTTGTTGTTAATTTTTCAAAAAGCGGCTTTAAAGTATTGTTAAAATTGTTCGTTTAAATCTACATTTTTTATAGTTATACTTAATATTGGTCGGTAAATTTTCCAAAATTTATAAAAATTAAAATTAAATGCATGTGACCTATTCACAATATGTAATTTCTAACTCTACATTACCTGCAATTGCTCACTGGATAAGAACCGAAAGAAACATTGGGAAATTCTTTTGCTACAGTTGATAAAGCATTTGCAAATAAATCTTCTCTAGTATTAATAAACATTTCGTCTTTTACAAATCTCTTGTTCGTAGAAAGCAATTCCTGATGTATAAAGTAAATACAGTTTAAAACAATTAATGAAACTAGTTTTTCATTAAGATACCCTTACCTCGTACAAGTTTTGAAAAGATTTTTTAAGAAATACAGGTGAACCAGGAAATACATATACATTTTCTAACGTAATGTATGGAAAAATATTTGGTTTTCTTTCGTTTGTGTGCAAACCAAATTTAAGAGATGCTTTCTGAGGTATTTGAGCTATTTTATAAATAGGGGACGAAGCATCATTGATCCCAACATGACATTTTAATATATCTACCAATTTGGGATGATAATGTAGCTTATCATTAAAAGCTTTGGCAAGACCTATAGATTATAGCATATTAATAATTACTACAGTATTCATTATATTTAACAACACACAATTTACCTTCATATGTAACATCATCATGTGTTGGCCCAATTCCCCCAGATGTTATAACATATGTATATTTTTTGGAGGCATCTTTAATTTCTTTTGAAATTTCTTCAACATTGTCGCCTATGACAGAAATCTGCGAAGCAGATTGCATATCATAATAAAAATAAATAAAAATAATATTTAATTGTCATATTGTGTACCTGCTTACCTTCCTTACTTTAATACCACATTTATATAATAAATTACATATGTAACAGGAATTTGTATCTTTTACTTGAGCTTTCAATATTTCATCCCCAATAACTAGAAATAATTATAAATACGTATTTATTATTGTAACACATGTAGAATAGCTGCTTTAAATATTTATATTCATTATGTGTTCTAACCAATTATTCCTGCTGTAGAATGTTCCAAACTTTTTACATAGCTCCTTGATAAGACGCATATGTAATTTCTTATTTGAGTACGAATAAGACACTGATATAAACTCATTATTATATAATTATGTTATATAAATTAGAGTTTTATTTATATATAAAACTGTCTATGTACACTTGATATAATCTTTATTATTATTCATTTTATGGTAATAATTATCACCTTTTGATGCCACTTTTTAGAACTTAACAAAAATGCCTTCAGTTTCCTTGTTAGAAAACAAAGTTTAAAGAGTTGTAATCGTATAATTATTGAGCACTATAAAAAAATAATTAATTATTAAAAGTTTAAACTGAAATCATTTAAAGGACTTTGGTCAAAACAGTGTGTTTTTGGCCCTCTCAATTGATTTATTTAATAAAACAGAAGAAATCAGAAGTTAAAAGTATATGTCGAAATAATTCAACTAAATAAAGTTTAGTTATTAATTATTAATATGCTATAAAATTTATTTTAATCTGAAATACTTGAATCGAGACATCATAGCTAAACGTTGTATGGTTGATGTGAATGTGAAATCCCTTTTCTTCAATATTAAAAATATTCCTCTTTACTATACTTTCAAATTCCTTTAAATCATTACTATTTGAACAAATTATCCATTTACTAATTGAATTCCTCTATCTTTAAAAATATATTTTTCATATTATATCTTTTTTTTAAATCTAATCCCTTTAACCTACTTTCTTTACGAATTGGCTTCACGTGGGCACTAAAAAAGTAAGATATGAATACTTTTTTTAAAACTATTCCGCCACTGAATACTTTGTGTCCTCATAATGGCAGGCAATAAACATTGAAATGGCAAGTTTGGCAACATTAATAACAATATTAACATAAGCAATTTCTTCTAAAGTTCAGACAATAGTTTTCTCAGTGAACACTAAGTTCACAGTCATATAACATCAATATTATAACTTCCTACTCAACAATATAAATGTACTACACACACATGTAGCTTCTCTCTCAACGAAAGCTAATGCTTATCCGCTGATGGATACAATTACCCTACTATATCTCAGCCAACTACTTTGTTTACGCTCTAGTAAAGAAAGCAAAAATCAGAATTGATTTTAGAAAATTTCATGTCAATACGAAAACAGCCTCAGGACTGTATACTGTGTCCATATCTTAACAATCTAAATTATCTTGAATATGATAAGTTTCAACCTGAGATTTGAGATTTGGGAATCAACAATTTCGTTGAGCAATCTTTGCTATATTCTAGAAAACATTAAACGAGCCATACGAGTTCCCCAAATGAATGAAGTACCAATGCAAAAATGGATAACTAATGATTTTAGTTACTTTACAGTTTTCTTATATATTGTACTTGTTACTTTTCTTGCCTTCTCAATTATTTTCAATTGACTTAAAATATGACTTTGTTACAATAATGCATTCCGTAAATATAGTTTGACTCAAACACTGACTCTTCAAAACTGGACCCTAATTGCTGGATTAATAATTGCATATTGATGGGTTTATATGATATATGTTATTAGGGTTTATATAATATGTATGATATACATATAGATGATCAGAAAGTCTAGAGAAAGGCCAAAAGTGACTACTTTTTTTGAAGTTAGGTTCGAGCAAAATTGATTAACTAGCAAATACGTGAATTCATATGCGTAAATATGCACCTTCCAAAACGAATTGATATTATCTATTATTTCCTGCTTACCAGGCGAAGCGAAGATATAAAATATTAATAATTATTCGCCCGCGTTACTTCTCTCACAGTTCTGTATTCCGCCAATGACAGATCTTCTAACTTTTAAGAAAACCACTTTCTCTCAATATTAGATTATCATTTTCGCGAGAAAGGAAGAGAGCAGAGAGAGCCAAAACAATTTTTTATTTTAAAAATATTTTTCCAAAATTACAAGTTGTTTTAGAATAAAATATGTATCAACGAAAGTTTTAAATACACAAAACAAATTTCATAGTTTAAGTGCATAACATAATGCATTCTGTTTCACGCATGATATATACACATGATGCACCATTCATCCTTATTCAACATTTGGTGAATAACACGGATAAATAATGCATTATGCGCAACATGCGTGAAACAGAATGCACCTTTTATCTAACCTAAAAGCAACCCAACCTAACCGATTAATTAATTTCTTTATAGTGCCAAGCGATAATTTTAATTTTCAAAAATTGTATTATAATGCAAAACAGAAAAGTTATTTTCATTACATCTAAGTGCAAATACATCAACTAACTAAGTATGTGTCACAATATCAATTGGAGACTTGTGCTTCCTGACCGAAATTCTGTATTTACTAGTACAACTATAAAGACTGGAACTATGAAGACTAGAACAAGAAGACCAGACACCGAACTACGTCCGTTTAGAACCAGTAGCAAGCTCTACCGAGAAATTTTCACATAACTAGTTTCAAACTTGTCCGCCTGCAGCACTGGCCAGAGCTTTGATATATCGGCGGTATTTTCAAAATATGCCTTGTAAATAGTTGCATTTTAATGAAAGTAAAGTAATAAAAACGTAATGGGAAAAATTATTCGACGTATCTGGCAATACTTTACTAAAGGAATTACACAAAGTTTCGACCGAGAATTCCGATTCTTTTCAAGTAAAAAGCGTCTTGATTACATTCTAAAGTCAGGCAAGTGCCAACCAGGCTGAATCTAAAGACTATGAAATCATCGTGTGTCAAAAAACAGAGTTACAGAGTATAAAAGTGAAAAATGTACAAAAAACTTTAGCAGTAGATATTAGTAGTAGCTTTAAGCAAAAGAAAAAAATGTCTACGTGTCAGAATGGCTATGTCAGAAAGAGATAACACTTTATAGAATACCTAGTAACAAGAGAAATTTTTATTTCTTTTTGTATCGAAGAAATAAGAAGCAATATGGGATTGATGCAATTAGTGACGGAGAAAAGAAGAGAATCAGCTGGTTGTGAAGCAGATGGGGAAAAGAGAATAAAACTAAAAAACAACTAAGGAGTTTTGAAATATGGAAAATTAGGACTAACCTAAAATAGCAAATTGAAGATGTAAAAAATATGCGAATTGTATCTTTTTCGTCAATAACGAAAATCTTTCACTGCTTAAAAATATTTCTTTGCCTAACGATGCTTTACAAAAAAAAATCATTAAAATTTAATAATTATACGTATAATTTAATGGCATGAAAAATAAGTAAAATCGCATAAAAAATCAAATAGACAACTCTTTGCACATGTACAGGGTGTACTAAAACTACCGGATATCCTTTTAATCGCTGATTCCTTAGAAAATTTCAAGAGGAAAATTCTAATAAAAAAATGTCGAGGCTATGATAATTTTTAAATAATAAGCGATTATATTTCATAAATGACAGGTCTGAGATTTCGTGCGCTCAGGCATGGCGACATGACGAGTGATAAAAGTGTTCCTATGTGTTTCGCGAGCGAGCGAGAACCAAAGTCACCGTTTAACGGGACAGAAAATATTTGGGAAGACGATGATCCGGTTATTTTGAAAACTTGAGGGTAAAGAGAGGCAGGAGACTAGATTGAATCTAACTGAAAATTCCAAGTTCACTCAGAATATCGGAGATCGACTAAATCGAAGGATATCAGTCTGATCAAGATGCTCATCATAGTAATCGCTTATTATTTAAAAACTATTATAGCCTCGACATTTTTGTATTAGAATTTTTGTCTTGAAAGTTTCTAAAGAATTTATGATTAAAAGGATATCCGGTGGTTTTAGTACACCCTGTATATGTGTGTATGTATCTTTAAAAAACACAAACCAACTTCATTGTATAAGAGGCCCACCACCACCCCCGCCGATTCCAATCGGCGGTCCTCTTTTCAAAATATAAAAAACAATTATAGTAAAAAATTTCTATAATTGTAATTTTTGTTATTTATCTTACAATTTATCTACAATATCTTATACTTTGCTTTACAATATATGTATACTGATGATTATCTGGCAATAGAAAATTACTTGCTAAAAAATTATTTAAACATTTTCCTTTGTACAAACTGGCTCCATTTACATCGGATAATCATTACGATTGTTTTCTAATTAAATTAAACTTAGACTTTGCATTTTTCTAGTTACAAATGAAATACTACCTCTCTCTCTTACAATGAGATTTAAATTAAAATGATATCCGATAAAAACAGACCAATACACATACTATATTTAAGAGGCCCTCCACCACCCCCGCCAATTTCTATCGGCGGTCCTTTTTCCTTTACTATAATTGTTCTTTCATATATTTATCCTTTATCTTACAATATCTTATTATTTGCTTTACAATATATATTAATGATTATCTGGCAATAAAAATTATTTAAACATTTTCTTTTGCACAAAATTGCTCCATTTACATCGGATAATCATCACGACTGCATTCTGCAATTAAATTTTGCGTTTTTCTAGTTACAAATTAAATACTACCTCTCTCTTACTATGAGGTTTAAATCAAAACGTTATCCGATAAAAATAGAGCAATTTACATAAGAGGCCCTCCACCACCCCCGCCAATTTCTACCGGCGGTCCTCTTTCCTTTCCAATAATCGTTTCCTTTTTATCATTACTTTAGTTTCCTCAGAACATAACTTTACATCATAAAAGAGAAAGAGAGTACATTATGTAAAAAAATTTGATATGCGTTTAATAACAGGAAATTACAACGTGAAACATGTCGCTATGCCTAATGTATAAAATTTCTTTTTAATGTGGAAACACAAAAATCGTATTGTAAATATGCAAACAAAAATCTAACAATTAAAAGATTATTTAAATCCAATTAAAATTTTATTCGACGTCAAACAGGTCAAAGAAGCTACCGCTCGATCCAACGGCGGTCCTTTTTTGTACAATACGATTTTTAACATTTCTATTAGTTATTTTATTTTTCGTACACTTTCTGTACATTTAAAGTATATAAGTATATGTATAATTATATTTATTATTATTACATTTACTTATGATTATTTTCTATTCGGTAACGGCTCCCATTGCCATTTATTTATTTTAATTATTAATATCATTTTTGTATAATTATTTCGTCTATAACAAAACTATCAAATTACTCGTATATCCCCCTGACCCTGCTTACTCGAATTTCTGCCTACCCGCATTTCAATTTATAATCCTATGTATCCGTTTTATTACCTACCCGTGTCGAAACCTAACAAATCTACAAATTTTTAATTAAAACCGCGACCCGATTTTATTAGGGATTTGATTCGGGATTTTAACTCGTGCGCGATTGAGATTTAAATTAGATTTTTCGAATCTCACATATATGCGAGAAAATTTGCAGAAGAAAAACCCACCCGATTTAAAAACAATTACATATTCCATAATTCATCTTTGTGGTCAATGAGGACCACTTACGATGAATGCATTTTCCATTCGTTGGGCCAGATTGGACCTACCTTTCGTTGCTCCTGGCCATATAATCTGGTCACATTTCGACCAGACACCAGTAGGAAAGAGAAAAACTCTTTCCATTGTCGATTTATCATTATCGACAAATATTATACGTTCGATTCGAATAATAAGCGAGCGTCGACCGTATCGAAGAATACGATAAGAAAATTAGTTAAAATATATATCTTTGTAAAAAACGGCTGCATAAAATTAACCGAATATATTTTCAACATTACGCTATTTAATTCCGGTATTTAATTTAAAATATGGACCGGTTTTTTCTTCGTAATTGAATTAACTCGAAATCGCAAGTCAAATATAATACCAAAAAATGTATTTTGCGTTACATGTGTACCGATTTCAATAATAACCCGTGAAAACTTGGAATTAATAATAATGTGAATAAAATAAAAAATTAATAAGAAAACTGTCCCGATACAAAACCAATTATAAAAACCGACCGCGAAAACCGAAGATTCGTGTGACTGTGTTGTTCATGCAATATGCACCTCGAAAGTGTATCAAACAAAATCTACAAAATATCAAAAATAGATGGAAAGATTACAAAAACTTAGATCGACGAATACATCAATAAAGAATTCGCCATAATTTTTTATTAATAATATTTCGCGTAATATTTACAACGAGGATTCAACAATTCTCAACATGGAAAATGAGCTCGACATACCCTGATTTGTAGAGCTCTATGAAATTAAACGAATAAATGTTTAAGTTGAACTCGTTGAACTTTCGAGGCCCCGCTGTATGAAAGAATGAATCCCAGGTCTTCCGGATTGCCTCCGATAGCGGTCATTTCAGCAGGGAGTTAACGACGATCGTTTCTCATATCATTAATTTTCGTATATTCTCATTTTTATTGAAATATAAATAATTCTTCCATTAATAGTGTTAATGGGAGAATATTTATTGAGAAAGATATATATAAAATCTTCTCTTTTTTTTGTTAATTTCGCGAATCGACGTCGCGCCCTCGTGCTGAAACCGTTGCTTTCGGGCATCCGAGACAAGAAAACCAGGGATTAACTCTGGTTCTCTAACGTCTCCAATGTTCAACAGGCAACGGAAAATATTAACTACTCCAAAGGTCAAGGTTCTCGCTGCAAGAAAGAATGAATCCCAGATCTTCCGGATTACCTCCGATAGCGGTCATTTCGGCAGGGAGTTAACGACGATCAATTTTCAAATAATTGAATATCGGATATTTTCATTTGTATTGAAATAAAAATTATTCTTCCATTATTAGTGTTAATGGGAGAATATTTGTGGAGAAAGATATATATAAAATCTTCTCTTCTTTTTTTTGTTAGATTCGCGAATCGACGTCGCGCCCTCGTGCCGAAACCGTTGCTTTCGGGGATCCGTGACAAAGAAAACCAGGAATTAACTCTATTCTACAACGACGCAGCTAACTTTCCACATTGAGAATTGCTTACACTCCTCTCCAGAGATTCAATATATTCAATAAAAAATTTATTTGCAGTTAGCATTTGAAATCTAATCCATCTATTTTAAGGCAACGAATATACAAGATAATCTAAGATCTACAATCTATGAACTACGAAATGCACTGTGAAAAAGTATATAAAATTACATACATAATAAGTATAGCGATTACACTATTAATAACGGAAATATATAAATGTATGTACTTTCGCAAAAAAAAAACTTTGACACTTTGTTGTGTAAATACTTGTTTATACATGATGAAAAATTACAAAAAAAATTTAAATTTACACAATCAAAAGCAAACAGTTTACTTATTATATAAGGTAATAATTTTAATTACAAGGAGTAAATTTACTGACGTATGTAAATATACACCTTTACTAATAGGTGGTCCCAACATTATTCACTATATG